GGGGATGAATACTCCAAAGTAATTTTCCGATCTCCAACTCCAGAATTGAAGAGAACTTTTCCAGATGCAATAAATAACCAGCGTACCAGTTGAAGACACACTTCTTTTAACGATGGAAAATAGGAAAATATCGTTGATGAAACACGCAACAACATAGAGGAGTGTGCACAAACAACACACACACACACACACACACACACACACACACACACACACACATGCGCGCGCGCGCGCGCACACACACATACGCACGCACGCAAGCACACACGCATACATATATACATACACATACATACATACACACACATACATACGCTTACACACACGTACATACACATACATACGCATACACACATACACATACATACGGACACACAAACACACACACACACACACTGCACGGTGACATGATAATAAGTAACTTGAGCGCCAGCAGGTCTCCGTGCAGCGTGAACATTAGAGACTTGATGAACTTGCTGTACGTCATAAACAGCTGCTTGGTCTCCGCGGAGCTCGTCTTGAGCAGCTCGGCGCTAATCCTCTCTCCGCCGGCGTTGGACGAGCCCTCGCTTAGGCAGCTCTTGGTGCTCAGACTCCACGACTCGGTGAAAGGGTCATAGTTCACGGCCGACCTCAGCATCATAATGTCTACCACCGAGCCCTTGAGCAGCGATATCTGATCGTTTTTGTGCAGCTTCTTGAAAAAGGTCACGTGCTTGGCCATTTTGATGACCTTCCGCGTGAAAGCCTCTGCCAGGTTGACGAACTCCTCCGGGCTGGACGGCAGCATCCGCATAGAGGATGACGTCATAGCCAGGAACTGACCCGACTCCATAGCGCCCATGAGTTCGTAAATGAGGAACTGGTCCTCCACCGCCATCCCGCCAATCGCCGCTCGCACCTCAGTCTGGCTCTCCGCGTAGGGCGCGTACGGGGTGGGACCCTCGCGCATCCCACCACCGCCTCCTCCACCTCCTCCTCGTGACGGTGACGGCGTCGTGACGGTGACGGAGCCGGCGTGGTTGCCGGCAGAATAAGGCGGATACGTCGCCCCCGACACAGAGGTGGAGGAGGAGCAGGACGTGGAGCCGGGGCTCTGCACATGTTCGATGACCTCTTTTTTGATGGTGACCTCTGTGGGGTTCTCTGTGGGATGTCGGTCGTGTTGGTGGCGGTGTCGCTGGAGGTGGTGGTGGTAGGAGGGAGAGTACAGCTGGTCGCGGTCTTTGGAGATAATAGTGCGGGCAGGCGGGAGGAGGTCCTTGGCCGAGGCGGAGTAGGTGTCCTGAGGGGGCAGCTGGCCCTGTCGCCGGAGCTTGTTGATGATGATCTTCTGTTTTCTCTGCTTCTTTTGTTCGTCGTCTGAGATGGAAAGAAGGAAGGAAGGATGTATGTATTAATTTTTTAAAATTATTATTTGTAGGAAGGAAGATAGCAAGGAAGGAAAGAAGAAAGGAAGTATGTACTTTTTATAAAAATATATCGTCGCCTCAAAACTGAGACATTTTGGACAAACATAGTTCTGAGACGAGCTCTCCATCTGTCCATCCGTCCCTCCGTCCGTCCGTCCGTCCGCCGTCCGTCCGTCCGTCCGTCCGTCCGTCCGTCTGTCTGTCTGTCTGTCTGTCTGTCTCACTTTTTCAAAACACTTAATAGCCATCATTGGGTCGATGTGACTCTCTTCACTCAAACAAACACGTTTTAGTTATGGTTTGTTAGCGTAAAGAGAAGAACACCAACACAATAACGGGCATTTAGTGTTGGGAAAAAGTGAGACACAGCGACAGAAATAATGTCAAATGGCAAGTAAAGAAGTAGAGGAGTCAGTGTTTTACGGCACTTGCAACACAATAGCTTATATTAATATTATAAAAGCCGAAGATTAGAGGTGTTACTAGAGAGTAACAAACACAAAAAAGGACGCATAATATGTTTGGTAGGGAAAAGGGAGTGACATAACCACAGCAGGGCACCCTCCACCACCAAAACGTCAGAGTTTTACGGAACTTGCAACACCATAGACCATATAAGTACCGAAGATGTAGAGGTGTTACTGGAGAGTCAACATACAAAGAAAAGAAGGATGAGATAGGCAGACGATAGATGTTTGATAGGAAAAAAAGAGTAAACCCTACCAGAGCACCCACCAACCACACGGGCCGGGATATTATATAT